ATCCACTCCACACATTCTCTGAAGAATCCATGTGCCTGTCCAATAGCATCTCTGTTCCTTGTTCGCCTACACTGAGACACACCCACTTACTCACACCCTACTTCACACAACCAAACTCAACTCAGTCATTTCATCACAAATGCTTATATTCACAGTCGCCCTTTCATTCACCACTCATATGCCGGATTGCCGACTCCAATGAGAATCATCAATACTGAACGACGAAATCAAACATCACATATCAGTCAGGCACACCACCTGGCAATCTATGCATGCTTATGAATAGGCGAACACACATTGGATGGGTTGGACAATGCCACGTGAATTCTACGGATGGTCGACAATGCTTCGTCGAACCAATGTTGCTCAGCACACATCAGACAGATTCACAAATACTGAAAAACACATACACACACAACCAGGGTGGCTACGATCACGGTCACGGTGTCGACGTGAGACGTTTCGACCTCATCACATACTCAATGGATTCTTGACTCCAAATTCAAGTGATCTGATAGGAGACCCACGGTACAGGTACTCACGGGACAACTCTCACACACAGTTACACAGAGAATGAGAGAGAGGCACAGACACAAACACAAACACAAACACAAACACAAACACAGACACAGACACAGACACATCACAGATCGAAAAATTTATCGACATTCCACAACACTGCAATCAAGGAAACAAGTGTTTGAATGAGATTACCTGTGTTCCGAGAACATTCTCCCCTCCGGAATCGACACGATCCATGTGACTGACAGAATGGGTGCCTGTCGAAGCGTCTCCACTCACATCTCCTTCAGCTCCAACTACCTCTGTCAGTGCTGGTCTTCCACCTGGTACCTGAAATGGAATGAGACCACAGAGTGGATTAAGCGCGAGTGTGTAGTGTGCAGTAATTAGTGCTGGATTGCAAAAGTGTGAGACCTATGCATTATGTTTGGTGAGACATTCATAGTGTTTTAGTGGTTGTCTGGATCACATGTCCGAAGTGAATTACTCGGCACACTGCTCACCTGTCATGTTCTCGTCTAGCCAATCATCTGCCTCCCCTTCACCCCAATCCACTCCACACATTCTCTGAAGAATCCATGTGCCTGTCCAATAGCATCTCTGTTCCTTGTTCGCCTACACTGAGACACACCCACTTACTCACACCCTACTTCACACAACCAAACTCAACTCAGTCATTTCATCACAAATGCTTATATTCACAGTCGCCCTTTCATTCACCACTCATATGCCGGATTGCCGACTCCAATGAGAATCATCAATACTGAACGACGAAATCAAACATCACATATCAGTCAGGCACACCACCTGGCAATCTATGCATGCTTATGAATAGGCGAACACACATTGGATGGGTTGGACAATGCCACGTGAATTCTACGGATGGTCGACAATGCTTCGTCGAACCAATGTTGCTCAGCACACATCAGACAGATTCACAAATACTGAAAAACACATACACACACAACCAGGGTGGCTACGATCACGGTCACGGTGTCGACGTGAGACGTTTCGACCTCATCACATACTCAATGGATTCTTGACTCCAAATTCAAGTGATCTGATAGGAGACCCACGGTACAGGTACTCACGGGACAACTCTCACACACAGTTACACAGAGAATGAGAGAGAGGCACAGACACAAACACAAACACAAACACAAACACAAACACAGACACAGACACAGACACATCACAGATCGAAAAATTTATCGACATTCCACAACACTGCAATCAAGGAAACAAGTGTTTGAATGAGATTACCTGTGTTCCGAGAACATTCTCCCCTCCGGAATCGACACGATCCATGTGACTGACAGAATGGGTGCCTGTCGAAGCGTCTCCACTCACATCTCCTTCAGCTCCAACTACCTCTGTCAGTGCTGGTCTTCCACCTGGTACCTGAAATGGAATGAGACCACAGAGTGGATTAAGCGCGAGTGTGTAGTGTGCAGTAATTAGTGCTGGATTGCAAAAGTGTGAGACCTATGCATTATGTTTGGTGAGACATTCATAGTGTTTTAGTGGTTGTCTGGATCACATGTCCGAAGTGAATTACTCGGCACACTGCTCACCTGTCATGTTCTCGTCTAGCCAATCATCTGCCTCCCCTTCACCCCAATCCACTCCACACATTCTCTGAAGAATCCATGTGCCTGTCCAATAGCATCTCTGTTCCTTGTTCGCCTACACTGAGACACACCCACTTACTCACACCCTACTTCACACAACCAAACTCAACTCAGTCATTTCATCACAAATGCTTATATTCACAGTCGCCCTTTCATTCACCACTCATATGCCGGATTGCCGACTCCAATGAGAATCATCAATACTGAACGACGAAATCAAACATCACATATCAGTCAGGCACACCACCTGGCAATCTATGCATGCTTATGAATAGGCGAACACACATTGGATGGGTTGGACAATGCCACGTGAATTCTACGGATGGTCGACAATGCTTCGTCGAACCAATGTTGCTCAGCACACATCAGACAGATTCACAAATACTGAAAAACACATACACACACAACCAGGGTGGCTACGATCACGGTCACGGTGTCGACGTGAGACGTTTCGACCTCATCACATACTCAATGGATTCTTCACTCCAAATTCAAGTGATCTGATAGGAGACCCACGGTACAGGTACTCACGGGACAACTCTCACACACAGTTACACAGAGAATGAGAGAGAGGCACAGACACAAACACAAACACAAACAAAAACACAAACACAAACACAAACACAGACACAGACACAGACACATCACAGATCGAAAAATTTATCGACATTCCACAACACTGCAATCAAGGAAACAAGTGTTTGAATGAGATTACCTGTGTTCCGAGAACATTCTCCCCTCCGGAATCGACACGATCCATGTGACTGACAGAATGGGTGCCTGTCGAAGCGTCTCCACTCACATCTCCTTCAGCTCCAACTACCTCTGTCAGTGCTGGTCTTCCACCTGGTACCTGAAATGGAATGAGACCACAGAGTGGATTAAGCGCGAGTGTGTAGTGTGCAGTAATTAGTGCTGGATTGCAAAAGTGTGAGACCTATGCATTATGTTTGGTGAGACATTCATAGTGTTTTAGTGGTTGTCTGGATCACATGTCCGAAGTGAATACTCGGCCCACTGCTCACCTGTCATGTTCTCGTCTAGCCAATCATCTGCCTCCCCTTCACCCCAATCCACTCCACACATTCTCTGAAGAATCCATGTGCCTGTCCAATAGCATCTCTGTTCCTTGTTCGCCTACACTGAGACACACCCACTTACTCACACCCTACTTCACACAACCAAACTCAACTCAGTCATTTCATCACAAATGCTTATATTCACAGTCGCCCTTTCATTCACCACTCATATGCCGGATTGCCGACTCCAATGAGAATCATCAATACTGAACGACGAAATCAAACATCACATATCAGTCAGGCACACCACCTGGCAATCTATGCATGCTTATGAATAGGCGAACACACATTGGATGGGTTGGACAATGCCACGTGAATTCTACGGATGGTCGACAATGCTTCGTCGAACCAATGTTGCTCAGCACACATCAGACAGATTCACAAATACTGAAAAACACATACACACACAACCAGGGTGGCTACGATCACGGTCACGGTGTCGACGTGAGACGTTTCGACCTCATCACATACTCAATGGATTCTTGACTCCAAATTCAAGTGATCTGATAGGAGACCCACGGTACAGGTACTCACGGGGACAACTCACACACATAGTTACACAGAGATGAGAGAGAGGCACAGGACACAACACAAACACAACACAAACACAGACACAGACACAGACACATCACAGATCGAAAATTTATCGACATTCCACAACACGTCAATCAAGGAAACAAGTGTTTGAATGAGATACCTGTGTTCCGAGAACATTCTGCCTTCCGGAATCGACTCGATCCATGTGACTGACAGAATGGGTGCCTGTCGAAGCGTCTCCACTCACATCTCCTTCAGCTCCAACTACCTCTGTCAGTGCTGGTCTTCCACCTGGTACCTGAATGGAATGAGACCACAGAGTGGATTAAGCGCGAGTGTGTAGTGTGCAGTAATTAGTGCTGGATTGCAAAAGTGTGAGACCTATGCATTATGTTTGGTGAGACATTCATAGTGTTTTAGTGGTTGTCTGGATCACATGTCCGAAGTGAATTACTCGGCACACTGCTCACCTGTCATGTTCTCGTCTAGCCAATCATCTGCCTCCCTTCACCCCAATCCACTCCACACATTCTCTGAAGAATCCATGTGCCTGTCCAATAGCATCTCTGTTCCTTGTTCGCCTACACTGAGACACACCCACTTACTCACACCCTACTTCACACAACCAACTCAACTCAGTCATTTCATCACAAATGCTTATATTCACAGTCGCCCTTTCATTCACCACTCATATGCCGGATTGCCGACTCCAATGAGAATCATCAATACTGAACGACGAAATCAAACATCACATATCAGTCAGGCACACCACCTGGCAATCTATGCATGCTTATGAATAGGCGAACACACATTGGATGGGTTGGACAATGCCACGTGAATTCTACGGATGGTCGACAATGCTTCGTCGAACCAATGTTGCTCAGCACACATCAGACAGATTCACAAATACTGAAAAACACATACACACACAACCAGGGTGGCTACGATCACGGTCACGGTGTCGACGTGAGACGTTTCGACCTCATCACATACTCAATGGATTCTTCACTCCAAATTCAAGTGATCTGATAGGAGACCCACGGTACAGGTACTCACGGACAACTCTCACACACAGTTACACAGAGAATGAGAGAGAGTCACAGACACAACACAACACAAACAAAAACACAAACACAAACACAGACACAGACACAGACACATCACAGATCGAAAAATTTATCGACATTCCACAACACGTCAATCAAGGAAACAAGTGTGTGAACGAGATTACCTGTGTGTCGAGAAGATTCTCCCCTCCGGAATCGACACGATCCATGTGACTGACAGAATGGGTGCCTGTCGAAGCGTCTCCACTCACATCTCCTTCAGCTCCAACTACCTCTGTCAGTGCTGGTCTTCCACTGGTACCTGAAATGGAATGAGATCACAGAGTGGATTAGGCTGGAGTGTGTAGTGTGCAGTAATTAGTGCTGGATTGCAAAAGTGTGAGACCTATGCATTATGTTTGGTGAGACATTCATAGTGTTTTAGTGGTTGTCTGGATCACATGTCCGAAGTGAATTACTCGGCACACTGCTCACCTGTCATGTTCTCGTCTAGCCAATCATCTGCCTCCCCTTCACCCCAATCTCACTCCACACATTCTCTGAAGAATCCATGTGCCTGTCCAATAGCATCTCTGTTCCTTGTTCGCCTACACTGAGACACACCCACTTACTCACACCCTACTTCACACAACCAAACTCAACTCAGTCATTTCATCACAAATGCTTATATTCACAGTCGCCCTTTCATTCACCACTCATATGCCGGATTGCCGACTCCAATGAGAATCATCAATACTGAACGACGAAATCAAACATCACATATCAGTCAGGCACACCACCTGGCAATCTATGCATGCTTATGAATAGGCGAACACACATTGGATGGGTTGGACAATGCCACGTGAATTCTACGGATGGTCGACAATGCTTCGTCGAACCAATGTTGCTCAGCACACATCAGACAGATTCACAAATACTGAAAAACACATACACACACAACCAGGGTGGCTACGATCACGGTCACGGTGTCGACGTGAGACGTTTCGACCTCATCACATACTCAATGGATTCTTCACTCCAAATTCAAGTGATCTGATAGGAGACCCACGGTACAGGTACTCACGGGACAACTCTCACACACAGTTACACAGAGAATGAGAGAGAGGCACAGACACAAACACAAACACAAACAAAAACACAAACACAAACACAGACACAGACACAGACACATCACAGATCGAAAAATTTATCGACATTCCACAACACTGCAATCAAGGAAACAAGTGTTTGAATGAGATTACCTGTGTTCCGAGAACATTCTCCCCTCCGGAATCGACACGATCCATGTGACTGACAGAATGGGTGCCTGTCGAAGCGTCTCCACTCACATCTCCTTCAGCTCCAACTACCTCTGTCAGTGCTGGTCTTCCACCTGGTACCTGAAATGGAATGAGACCACAGAGTGGATTAAGCGCGAGTGTGTAGTGTGCAGTAATTAGTGCTGGATTGCAAAAGTGTGAGACCTATGCATTATGTTTGGTGAGACATTCATAGTGTTTTAGTGGTTGTCTGGATCACATGTCCGAAGTGAATTACTCGGCACACTGCTCACCTGTCATGTTCTCGTCTAGCCAATCATCTGCCTCCCCTTCACCCCAATCCACTCCACACATTCTCTGAAGAATCCATGTGCCTGTCCAATAGCATCTCTGTTCCTTGTTCGCCTACACTGAGACACACCCACTTACTCACACCCTACTTCACACAACCAAACTCAACTCAGTCATTTCATCACAAATGCTTATATTCACAGTCGCCCTTTCATTCACCACTCATATGCCGGATTGCCGACTCCAATGAGAATCATCAATACTGAACGACGAAATCAAACATCACATATCAGTCAGGCACACCACCTGGCAATCTATGCATGCTTATGAATAGGCGAACACACATTGGATGGGTTGGACAATGCCACGTGAATTCTACGGATGGTCGACAATGCTTCGTCGAACCAATGTTGCTCAGCACACATCAGACAGATTCACAAATACTGAAAAACACATACACACACAACCAGGGTGGCTACGATCACGGTCACGGTGTCGACGTGAGACGTTTCGACCTCATCACATACTCAATGGATTCTTGACTCCAAATTCAAGTGATCTGATAGGAGACCCACGGTACAGGTACTCACGGGACAACTCTCACACACAGTTACACAGAGAATGAGAGAGAGGCACAGACACAAACACAAACACAAACAAAAACACAAACACAAACACAGACACAGACACAGACACATCACAGATCGAAAAATTTATCGACATTCCACAACACGGCAATCAAGGAAACAAGTGTTTGAATGAGATTACCTGTGTTCCGAGAACATTCTCCCCTCCGGAATCGACACGATCCATGTGACTGACAGAATGGGTGCCTGTCGAAGCGTCTCCACTCACATCTCCTTCAGCTCCAACTACCTCTGTCAGTGCTGGTCTTCCACCTGGTACCTGAAATGGAATGAGACCACAGAGTGGATTAAGCGCGAGTGTGTAGTGTGCAGTAATTAGTGCTGGATTGCAAAAGTGTGAGACCTATGCATTATGTTTGGTGAGACATTCATAGTGTTTTAGTGGTTGTCTGGATCACATGTCCGAAGTGAATTACTCGGCACACTGCTCACCTGTCATGTTCTTGTCTAGCCAATCATCTGCCTCCCCTTCACCCCAATCCACTCCACACATTCTCTGAAGAATCCATGTGCCTGTCCAATAGCATCTCTGTTCCTTGTTCGCCTACACTGAGACACACCCACTTACTCACACCCTACTTCACACAACCAAACTCAACTCAGTCATTTCATCACAAATGCTTATATTCACAGTCGCCCTTTCATTCACCACTCATATGCCGGATTGCCGACTCCAATGAGAATCATCAATACTGAACGACGAAATCAAACATCACATATCAGTCAGGCACACCACCTGGCAATCTATGCATGCTTATGAATAGGCGAACACACATTGGATGGGTTGGACAATGCCACGTGAATTCTACGGATGGTCGACAATGCTTCGTCGAACCAATGTTGCTCAGCACACATCAGACAGATTCACAAATACTGAAAAACACATACACACACAACCAGGGTGGCTACGATCACGGTCACGGTGTCGACGTGAGACGTTTCGACCTCATCACATACTCAATGGATTCTTCACTCCAAATTCAAGTGATCTGATAGGAGACCCACGGTACAGGTACTCACGGGACAACTCTCACACACAGTTACACAGAGAATGAGAGAGAGTCACAGACACAAACACAAACACAGTCACAGACACAGACACATCACAGATCGAAAAATTTATCGACATTCCACAACACTGCAATCAAGGAAACAAGTGTTTGAATGAGATTACCTGTGTTCCGAGAACATTCTCCCCTCCGGAATCGACACGATCCATGTGACTGACAGAATGGGTGCCTGTCGAAGCGTCTCCACTCACATCTCCTTCAGCTCCAACTACCTCTGTCAGTGCTGGTCTTCCACCTGGTACCTGAAATGGAATGAGACCACAGAGTGGATTAAGCGCGAGTGTGTAGTGTGCAGTAATTAGTGCTGGATTGCAAAAGTGTGAGACCTATGCATTATGTTTGGTGAGACATTCATAGTGTTTTAGTGGTTGTCTGGATCACATGTCCGAAGTGAATTACTCGGCACACTGCTCACCTGTCATGTTCTCGTCTAGCCAATCATCTGCCTCCCCTTCACCCCAATCCACTCCACACATTCTCTGAAGAATCCATGTGCCTGTCCAATAGCATCTCTGTTCCTTGTTCGCCTACACTGAGACACACCCACTTACTCACACCCTACTTCACACAACCAAACTCAACTCAGTCATTTCATCACAAATGCTTATATTCACAGTCGCCCTTTCATTCACCACTCATATGCCGGATTGCCGACTCCAATGAGAATCATCAATACTGAACGACGAAATCAAACATCACATATCAGTCAGGCACACCACCTGGCAATCTATGCATGCTTATGAATAGGCGAACACACATTGGATGGGTTGGACAATGCCACGTGAATTCTACGGATGGTCGACAATGCTTCGTCGAACCAATGTTGCTCAGCACACATCAGACAGATTCACAAATACTGAAAAACACATACACACACAACCAGGGTGGCTACGATCACGGTCACGGTGTCGACGTGAGACGTTTCGACCTCATCACATACTCAATGGATTCTTCACTCCAAATTCAAGTGATCTGATAGGAGACCCACGGTACAGGTACTCACGGGACAACTCTCACACACAGTTACACAGAGAATGAGAGAGAGGCACAGACACAAACACAAACACAAACACAAACACAGACACAGACACAGACACATCACAGATCGAAAAATTTATCGACATTCCACAACACTGCAATCAAGGAAACAAGTGTTTGAATGAGATTACCTGTGTTCCGAGAACATTCTCCCCTCCGGAATCGACACGATCCATGTGACTGACAGAATGGGTGCCTGTCGAAGCGTCTCCACTCACATCTCCTTCAGCTCCAACTACCTCTGTCAGTGCTGGTCTTCCACCTGGTACCTGAAATGGAATGAGACCACAGAGTGGATTAAGCGCGAGTGTGTAGTGTGCAGTAATTAGTGCTGGATTGCAAAAGTGTGAGACCTATGCATTATGTTTGGTGAGACATTCATAGTGTTTTAGTGGTTGTCTGGATCACATGTCCGAAGTGAATTACTCGGCACACTGCTCACCTGTCATGTTCTCGTCTAGCCAATCATCTGCCTCCCCTTCACCCCAATCCACTCCACACATTCTCTGAAGAATCCATGTGCCTGTCCAATAGCATCTCTGTTCCTTGTTCGCCTACACTGAGACACACCCACTTACTCACACCCTACTTCACACAACCAAACTCAACTCAGTCATTTCATCACAAATGCTTATATTCACAGTCGCCCTTTCATTCACCACTCATATGCCGGATTGCCGACTCCAATGAGAATCATCAATACTGAACGACGAAATCAAACATCACATATCAGTCAGGCACACCACCTGGCAATCTATGCATGCTTATGAATAGGCGAACACACATTGGATGGGTTGGACAATGCCACGTGAATTCTACGGATGGTCGACAATGCTTCGTCGAACCAATGTTGCTCAGCACACATCAGACAGATTCACAAATACTGAAAAACACATACACACACAACCAGGGTGGCTACGATCACGGTCACGGTGTCGACGTGAGACGTTTCGACCTCATCACATACTCAATGGATTCTTCACTCCAAATTCAAGTGATCTGATAGGAGACCCACGGTACAGGTACTCACGGGACAACTCTCACACACAGTTACACAGAGAATGAGAGAGAGTCACAGACACAAACACAAACACAAACACAAACACAAACACAGACACAGACACAGACACAGACACATCACAGATCGAAAAATTTATCGACATTCCACAACACTGCAATCAAGGAAACAAGTGTTTGAATGAGATTACCTGTGTTCCGAGAACATTCTCCCCTCCGGAATCGACACGATCCATGTGACTGACAGAATGGGTGCCTGTCGAAGCGTCTCCACTCACATCTCCTTCAGCTCCAACTACCTCTGTCAGTGCTGGTCTTCCACCTGGTACCTGAAATGGAATGAGACCACAGAGTGGATTAAGCGCGAGTGTGTAGTGTGCAGTAATTAGTGCTGGATTGCAAAAGTGTGAGACCTATGCATTATGTTTGGTGAGACATTCATAGTGTTTTAGTGGTTGTCTGGATCACATGTCCGAAGTGAATTACTCGGCACACTGCTCACCTGTCATGTTCTCGTCTAGCCAATCATCTGCCTCCCCTTCACCCCAATCCACTCCACACATTCTCTGAAGAATCCATGTGCCTGTCCAATAGCATCTCTGTTCCTTGTTCGCCTACACTGAGACACACCCACTTACTCACACCCTACTTCACACAACCAAACTCAACTCAGTCATTTCATCACAAATGCTTATATTCACAGTCGCCCTTTCATTCACCACTCATATGCCGGATTGCCGACTCCAATGAGAATCATCAATACTGAACGACGAAATCAAACATCACATATCAGTCAGGCACACCACCTGGCAATCTATGCATGCTTATGAATAGGCGAACACACATTGGATGGGTTGGACAATGCCACGTGAATTCTACGGATGGTCGACAATGCTTCGTCGAACCAATGTTGCTCAGCACACATCAGACAGATTCACAAATACTGAAAAACACATACACACACAACCAGGGTGGCTACGATCACGGTCACGGTGTCGACGTGAGACGTTTCGACCTCATCACATACTCAATGGATTCTTCACTCCAAATTCAAGTGATCTGATAGGAGACCCACGGTACAGGTACTCACGGGACAACTCTCACACACAGTTACACAGAGAATGAGAGAGAGTCACAGACACAAACACAAACACAGACACAGACACAGACACAGACACATCACAGATCGAAAAATTTATCGACATTCCACAACACTGCAATCAAGGAAACAAGTGTTTGAATGAGATTACCTGTGTTCCGAGAACATTCTCCCCTCCGGAATCGACACGATCCATGTGACTGACAGAATGGGTGCCTGTCGAAGCGTCTCCACTCACATCTCCTTCAGCTCCAACTACCTCTGTCAGTGCTGGTCTTCCACCTGGTACCTGAAATGGAATGAGACCACAGAGTGGATTAAGCGCGAGTGTGTAGTGTGCAGTAATTAGTGCTGGATTGCAAAAGTGTGAGACCTATGCATTATGTTTGGTGAGACATTCATAGTGTTTTAGTGGTTGTCTGGATCACATGTCCGAAGTGAATTACTCGGCACACTGCTCACCTGTCATGTTCTCGTCTAGCCAATCATCTGCCTCCCCTTCACCCCAATCCACTCCACACATTCTCTGAAGAATCCATGTGCCTGTCCAATAGCATCTCTGTTCCTTGTTCGCCTACACTGAGACACACCCACTTACTCACACCCTACTTCACACAACCAAACTCAACTCAGTCATTTCATCACAAATGCTTATATTCACAGTCGCCCTTTCATTCACCACTCATATGCCGGATTGCCGACTCCAATGAGAATCATCAATACTGAACGACGAAATCAAACATCACATATCAGTCAGGCACACCACCTGGCAATCTATGCATGCTTATGAATAGGCGAACACACATTGGATGGGTTGGACAATGCCACGTGAATTCTACGGATGGTCGACAATGCTTCGTCGAACCAATGTTGCTCAGCACACATCAGACAGATTCACAAATACTGAAAAACACATACACACACAACCAGGGTGGCTACGATCACGGTCACGGTGTCGACGTGAGACGTTTCGACCTCATCACATACTCAATGGATTCTTGACTCCAAATTCAAGTGATCTGATAGGAGACCCACGGTACAGGTACTCACGGGACAACTCTCACACACAGTTACACAGAGAATGAGAGAGAGTCACAGACACAAACACAAACACAAACACAAACACAAACACAGACACAGACACATCACAGATCGAAAAATTTATCGACATTCCACAACACTGCAATCAAGGAAACAAGTGTTTGAATGAGATTACCTGTGTTCCGAGAACATTCTCCCCTCCGGAATCGACACGATCCATGTGACTGACAGAATGGGTGCCTGTCGAAGCGTCTCCACTCACATCTCCTTCAGCTCCAACTACCTCTGTCAGTGCTGGTCTTCCACCTGGTACCTGAAATGGAATGAGACCACAGAGTGGATTAAGCGCGAGTGTGTAGTGTGCAGTAATTAGTGCTGGATTGCAAAAGTGTGAGACCTATGCATTATGTTTGGTGAGACATTCATAGTGTTTTAGTGGTTGTCTGGATCACATGTCCGAAGTGAATTACTCGGCACACTGCTCACCTGTCATGTTCTCGTCTAGCCAATCATCTGCCTCCCCTTCACCCCAATCCACTCCACACATTCTCTGAAGAATCCATGTGCCTGTCCAATAGCATCTCTGTTCCTTGTTCGCCTACACTGAGACACACCCACTTACTCACACCCTACTTCACACAACCAAACTCAACTCAGTCATTTCATCACAAATGCTTATATTCACAGTCGCCCTTTCATTCACCACTCATATGCCGGATTGCCGACTCCAATGAGAATCATCAATACTGAACGACGAAATCAAACATCACATATCAGTCAGGCACACCACCTGGCAATCTATGCATGCTTATGAATAGGCGAACACACATTGGATGGGTTGGACAATGCCACGTGAATTCTACGGATGGTCGACAATGCTTCGTCGAACCAATGTTGCTCAGCACACATCAGACAGATTCACAAATACTGAAAAACACATACACACACAACCAGGGTGGCTACGATCACGGTCACGGTGTCGACGTGAGACGTTTCGACCTCATCACATACTCAATGGATTCTTCACTCCAAATTCAAGTGATCTGATAGGAGACCCACGGTACAGGTACTCACGGGACAACTCTCACACACAGTTACACAGAGAATGAGAGAGAGGCACAGACACAAACACAAACACAAACACAAACACAAACACAAACACATCACAGATCGAAAAATTTATCGACATTCCACAACACGTCAATCAAGGAAACAAGTGTGTGAACGAGATTACCTGTGTTCCGAGAACATTCTCCCCTCCGGAATCGACACGATCCATGTGACTGACAGAATGGGTGCCTGTCGAAGCGTCTCCACTCACATCTCCTTCAGCTCCAACTACCTCTGTCAGTGCTGGTCTTCCACCTGGTACCTGAAATGGAATGAGACCACAGAGTGGATTAAGCGCGAGTGTGTAGTGTGCAGTAATTAGTGCTGGATTGCAAAAGTGTGAGACCTATGCATTATGTTTGGTGAGACATTCATAGTGTTTTAGTGGTTGTCTGGATCACATGTCCGAAGTGAATTACTCGGCACACTGCTCACCTGTCATGTTCTCGTCTAGCCAATCATCTGCCTCCCCTTCACCCCAATCCACTCCACACATTCTCTGAAGAATCCATGTGCCTGTCCAATAGCATCTCTGTTCCTTGTTCGCCTACACTGAGACACACCCACTTACTCACACCCTACTTCACACAACCAAACTCAACTCAGTCATTTCATCACAAATGCTTATATTCACAGTCGCCCTTTCATTCACCACTCATATGCCGGATTGCCGACTCCAATGAGAATCATCAATACTGAACGACGAAATCAAACATCACATATCAGTCAGGCACACCACCTGGCAATCTATGCATGCTTATGAATAGGCGAACACACATTGGATGGGTTGGACAATGCCACGTGAATTCTACGGATGGTCGACAATGCTTCGTCGAACCAATGTTGCTCAGCACACATCAGACAGATTCACAAATACTGAAAAACACATACACACACAACCAGGGTGGCTACGATCACGGTCACGGTGTCGACGTGAGACGTTTCGACCTCATCACATACTCAATGGATTCTTGACTCCAAATTCAAGTGATCTGATAGGAGACCCACGGTACAGGTACTCACGGGACAACTCTCACACACAGTTACACAGAGAATGAGAGAGAGTCACAGACACAAACACAAACACAAACAAAAACACAAACACAAACACAGACACAGACACAGACACATCACAGATCGAAAAATTTATCGACATTCCACAACACTGCAATCAAGGAAACAAGTGTTTGAATGAGATTACCTGTGTTCCGAGAACATTCTCCCCTCCGGAATCGACACGATCCATGTGACTGACAGAATGGGTGCCTGTCGAAGCGTCTCCACTCACATCTCCTTCAGCTCCAACTACCTCTGTCAGTGCTGGTCTTCCACCTGGTACCTGAAATGGAATGAGACCACAGAGTGGATTAAGCGCGAGTGTGTAGTGTGCAGTAATTAGTGCTGGATTGCAAAAGTGTGAGACCTATGCATTATGTTTGGTGAGACATTCATAGTGTTTTAGTGGTTGTCTGGATCACATGTCCGAAGTGAATTACTCGGCACACTGCTCACCTGTCATGTTCTCGTCTAGCCAATCATCTGCCTCCCCTTCACCCCAATCCACTCCACACATTCTCTGAAGAATCCATGTGCCTGTCCAATAGCATCTCTGTTCCTTGTTCGCCTACACTGAGACACACCCACTTACTCACACCCTACTTCACACAACCAAACTCAACTCAGTCATTTCATCACAAATGCTTATATTCACAGTCGCCCTTTCATTCACCACTCATATGCCGGATTGCCGACTCCAATGAGAATCATCAATACTGAACGACGAAATCAAACATCACATATCAGTCAGGCACACCACCTGGCAATCTATGCATGCTTATGAATAGGCGAACACACATTGGATGGGTTGGACAATGCCACGTGAATTCTACGGATGGTCGACAATGCTTCGTCGAACCAATGTTGCTCAGCACACATCAGACAGATTCACAAATACTGAAAAACACATACACACACAACCAGGGTGGCTACGATCACGGTCACGGTGTCGACGTGAGACGTTTCGACCTCATCACATACTCAATGGATTCTTCACTCCAAATTCAAGTGATCTGATAGGAGACCCACGGTACAGGTACTCACGGGACAACTCTCACACACAGTTACACAGAGAATGAGAGAGAGGCACAGACACAAACACAAACACAAACACAAACACAGACACAAACACAGACACAGACACAGACACATCACAGATCGAAAAATTTATCGACATTCCACAACACTGCAATCAAGGAAACAAGTGTTTGAATGAGATTACCTGTGTTCCGAGAACATTCTCCCCTCCGGAATCGACACGATCCATGTGACTGACAGAATGGGTGCCTGTCGAAGCGTCTCCACTCACATCTCCTTCAGCTCCAACTACCTCTGTCAGTGCTGGTCTTCCACCTGGTACCTGAAATGGAATGAGACCACAGAGTGGATTAAGCGCGAGTGTGTAGTGTGCAGTAATTAGTGCTGGATTGCAAAAGTGTGAGACCTATGCATTATGTTTGGTGAGACATTCATAGTGTTTTAGTGGTTGTCTGGATCACATGTCCGAAGTGAATTACTCGGCACACTGCTCACCTGTCATGTTCTCGTCTAGCCAATCATCTGCCTCCCCTTCACCCCAATCCACTCCACACATTCTCTGAAGAATCCATGTGCCTGTCCAATAGCATCTCTGTTCCTTGTTCGCCTACACTGAGACACACCCACTTACTCACACCCTACTTCACACAACCAAACTCAACTCAGTCATTTCATCACAAATGCTTATATTCACAGTCGCCCTTTCATTCACCACTCATATGCCGGATTGCCGACTCCAATGAGAATCATCAATACTGAACGACGAAATCAAACATCACATATCAGTCAGGCACACCACCTGGCAATCTATGCATGCTTATGAATAGGCGAACACACATTGGATGGGTTGGACAATGCCACGTGAATTCTACGGATGGTCGACAATGCTTCGTCGAACCAATGTTGCTCAGCACACATCAGACAGATTCACAAATACTGAAAAACACATACACACACAACCAGGGTGGCTACGATCACGGTCACGGTGTCGACGTGAGACGTTTCGACCTCATCACATACTCAATGGATTCTTGACTCCAAATTCAAGTGATCTGATAGGAGACCCACGGTACAGGTACTCACGGGACAACTCTCACACACAGTTACACAGAGAATGAGAGAGAGTCACAGACACAAACACAAACACAAACACAAACACAAACACAAACACAGACACAGACACAGACACATCACAGATCGAAAAATTTATCGACATTCCACAACACTGCAATCAAGGAAACAAGTGTTTGAATGAGATTACCTGTGTTCCGAGAACATTCTCCCCTCCGGAATCGACACGATCCATGTGACTGACAGAATGGGTGCCTGTCGAAGCGTCTCCACTCACATCTCCTTCAGCTCCAACTACCTCTGTCAGTGCTGGTCTTCCACCTGGTACCTGAAATGGAATGAGACCACAGAGTGGATTAAGCGCGAGTGTGTAGTGTGCAGTAATTAGTGCTGGATTGCAAAAGTGTGAGACCTATGCATTATGTTTGGTGAGACATTCATAGTGTTTTAGTGGTTGTCTGGATCACATGTCCGAAGTGAATTACTCGGCACACTGCTCACCTGTCATGTTCTCGTCTAGCCAATCATCTGCCTCCCCTTCACCCCAATCCACTCCACACATTCTCTGAAGAATCCATGTGCCTGTCCAATAGCATCTCTGTTCCTTGTTCGCCTACACTGAGACACACCCACTTACTCACACCCTACTTCACACAACCAAACTCAACTCAGTCATTTCATCACAAATGCTTATATTCACAGTCGCCCTTTCATTCACCACTCATATGCCGGATTGCCGACTCCAATGAGAATCATCAATACTGAACGACGAAATCAAACATCACATATCAGTCAGGCACACCACCTGGCAATCTATGCATGCTTATGAATAGGCGAACACACATTGGATGGGTTGGACAATGCCACGTGAATTCTACGGATGGTCGACAATGCTTCGTCGAACCAATGTTGCTCAGCACACATCAGACAGATTCACAAATACTGAAAAACACATACACACACAACCAGGGTGGCTACGATCACGGTCACGGTGTCGACGTGAGACGTTTCGACCTCATCACATACTCAATGGATTCTTCACTCCAAATTCAAGTGATCTGATAGGAGACCCACGGTACAGGTACTCACGGGACAACTCTCACACACAGTTACACAGAGAATGAGAGAGAGGCACAGACACAAACACAAACACAAACACAAACACAAACACAAACACATCACAGATCGAAAAATTTATCGACATTCCACAACACGTCAATCAAGGAAACAAGTGTGTGAACGAGATTACCTGTGTTCCGAGAACATTCTCCCCTCCGGAATCGACACGATCCATGTGACTGACAGAATGGGTGCCTGTCGAAGCGTCTCCACTCACATCTCCTTCAGCTCCAACTACCTCTGTCAGTGCTGGTCTTCCACCTGGTACCTGAAATGGAATGAGACCACAGAGTGGATTAAGCGCGAGTGTGTAGTGTGCAGTAATTAGTGCTGGATTGCAAAAGTGTGAGACCTATGCATTATGTTTGGTGAGACATTCATAGTGTTTTAGTGGTTGTCTGGATCACATGTCCGAAGTGAATTACTCGGCACACTGCTCACCTGTCATGTTCTCGTCTAGCCAATCATCTGCCTCCCCTTCACCCCAATCCACTCCACACATTCTCTGAAGAATCCATGTGCCTGTCCAATAGCATCTCTGTTCCTTGTTCGCCTACACTGAGACACACCCACTTACTCACACCCTACTTCACACAACCAAACTCAACTCAGTCATTTCATCACAAATGCTTATATTCACAGTCGCCCTTTCATTCACCACTCATATGCCGGATTGCCGACTCCAATGAGAATCATCAATACTGAACGACGAAATCAAACATCACATATCAGTCAGGCACACCACCTGGCAATCTATGCATGCTTATGAATAGGCGAACACACATTGGATGGGTTGGACAATGCCACGTGAATTCTACGGATGGTCGACAATGCTTCGTCGAACCAATGTTGCTCAGCACACATCAGACAGATTCACAAATACTGAAAAACACATACACACACAACCAGGGTGGCTACGATCACGGTCACGGTGTCGACGTGAGACGTTTCGACCTCATCACATACTCAATGGATTCTTCACTCCAAATTCAAGTGATCTGATAGGAGACCCACGGTACAGGTACTCACGGGACAACTCTCACACACAGTTACACAGAGAATGAGAGAGAGTCACAGACACAAACACAAACACAAACACAAACACAAACACAGACACAGACACAGACACATCACAGATCGAAAAATTTATCGACATTCCACAACACTGCAATCAAGGAAACAAGTGTTTGAATGAGATTACCTGTGTTCCGAGAACATTCTCCCCTCCGGAATCGACACGATCCATGTGACTGACAGAATGGGTGCCTGTCGAAGCGTCTCCACTCACATCTCCTTCAGCTCCAACTACCTCTGTCAGTGCTGGTCTTCCACCTGGTACCTGAAATGGAATGAGACCACAGAGTGGATTAAGCGCGAGTGTGTAGTGTGCAGTAATTAGTGCTGGATTGCAAAAGTGTGAGACCTATGCATTATGTTTGGTGAGACATTCATAGTGTTTTAGTGGTTGTCTGGATCACATGTCCGAAGTGAATTACTCGGCACACTGCTCACCTGTCATGTTCTCGTCTAGCCAATCATCTGCCTCCCCTTCACCCCAATCCACTCCACACATTCTCTGAAGAATCCATGTGCCTGTCCAATAGCATCTCTGTTCCTTGTTCGCCTACACTGAGACACACCCACTTACTCACACCCTACTTCACACAACCAAACTCAACTCAGTCATTTCATCACAAATGCTTATATTCACAGTCGCCCTTTCATTCACCACTCATATGCCGGATTGCCGACTCCAATGAGAATCATCAATACTGAACGACGAAATCAAACATCACATATCAGTCAGGCACACCACCTGGCAATCTATGCATGCTTATGAATAGGCGAACACACATTGGATGGGTTGGACAATGCCACGTGAATTCTACGGATGGTCGACAATGCTTCGTCGAACCAATGTTGCTCAGCACACATCAGACAGATTCACAAATACTGAAAAACACATACACACACAACCAGGGTGGCTACGATCACGGTCACGGTGTCGACGTGAGACGTTTCGACCTCATCACATACTCAATGGATTCTTCACTCCAAATTCAAGTGATCTGATAGGAGACCCACGGTACAGGTACTCACGGGACAACTCTCACACACAGTTACACAGAGAATGAGAGAGAGTCACAGACACAAACACAAACACAAACACAAACACAAACACAGACACAGACACAGACACATCACAGATCGAAAAATTTATCGACATTCCACAACACTGCAATCAAGGAAACAAGTGTTTGAATGAGATTACCTGTGTTCCGAGAACATTCTCCCCTCCGGAATCGACACGATCCATGTGACTGACAGAATGGGTGCCTGTCGAAGCGTCTCCACTCACATCTCCTTCAGCTCCAACTACCTCTGTCAGTGCTGGTCTTCCACCTGGTACCTGAAATGGAATGAGACCACAGAGTGGATTAAGCGCGAGTGTGTAGTGTGCAGTAATTAGTGCTGGATTGCAAAAGTGTGAGACCTATGCATTATGTTTGGTGAGACATTCATAGTGTTTTAGTGGTTGTCTGGATCACATGTCCGAAGTGAATTACTCGGCACACTGCTCACCTGTCATGTTCTCGTCTAGCCAATCATCTGCCTCCCCTTCACCCCAATCCACTCCACACATTCTCTGAAGAATCCATGTGCCTGTCCAATAGCATCTCTGTTCCTTGTTCGCCTACACTGAGACACACCCACTTACTCACACCCTACTTCACACAACCAAACTCAACCCAGTCATTTCATCACAAATGCTTATATTCACAGTCGCCCTTTCATTCACCACTCATATGCCGGATTGCCGACTCCAATGAGAATCATCAATACTGAACGACGAAATCAAACATCACATATCAGTCAGGCACACCACCTGGCAATCTATGCATGCTTATGAATAGGCGAACACACATTGGATGGGTTGGACAATGCCACGTGAATTCTACGGATGGTCGACAATGCTTCGTCGAACCAATGTTGCTCAGCACACATCAGACAGATTCACAAATACTGAAAAACACATACACACACAACCAGGGTGGCTACGATCACGGTCACGGTGTCGACGTGAGACGTTTCGACCTCATCACATACTCAATGGATTCTTCACTCCAAATTCAAGTGATCTGATAGGAGACCCACGGTACAGGTACTCACGGGACAACTCTCACACACAGTTACACAGAGAATGAGAGAGAGTCACAGACACAAACACAAACAAAAACACAAACACAAACACAGACACAGACACAGACACATCACAGATCGAAAAATTTATCGACATTCCACAACACTGCAATCAAGGAAACAAGTGTTTGAATGAGATTACCTGTGTTCCGAGAACATTCTCCCCTCCGGAATCGACACGATCCATGTGACTGACAGAATGGGTGCCTGTCGAAGCGTCTCCACTCACATCTCCTTCAGCTCCAACTACCTCTGTCAGTGCTGGTCTTCCACCTGGTACCTGAAATGGAATGAGACCACAGAGTGGATTAAGCGCGAGTGTGTAGTGTGCAGTAATTAGTGCTGGATTGCAAAAGTGTGAGACCTATGCATTATGTTTGGTGAGACATTCATAGTGTTTTAGTGGTTGTCTGGATCACATGTCCGAAGTGAATTACTCGGCACACTGCTCACCTGTCATGTTCTCGTCTAGCCAATCATCTGCCTCCTCTTCACCCCAATCCACTCCACACATTCTCTGAAGAATCCATGTGCCTGTCCAATAGCATCTCTGTTCCTTGTTCGCCTACACTGAGACACACTCACTTACTCACACCCTACTTCACACAACCAAACTCAACTCAGTCATTTCATCACAAATGCTTATATTCACAGTCGCCCTTTCATTCACCACTCATATGCCGGATTGCCGACTCCAATGAGAATCATCAATACTGAACGACGAAATCAAACATCACATATCAGTCAGGCACACCACCTGGCAATCTATGCATGCTTATGAATAGGCGAACACACATTGGATGGGTTGGACAATGCCACGTGAATTCTACGGATGGTCGACAATGCTTCGTCGAACCAATGTTGCTCAGCACACATCAGACAGATTCACAAATACTGAAAAACACATACACACACAACCAGGGTGGCTACGATCACGGTCACGGTGTCGACGTGAGACGTTTCGACCTCATCACATACTCAATGGATTCTTCACTCCAAATTCAAGTGATCTGATAGGAGACCCACGGTACAGGTACTCACGGGACAACTCTCACACACAGTTACACAGAGAATGAGAGAGAGTCACAGACACAAACACAAACACAAACACAAACACAAACACAGACACAGACACAGACACATCACAGATCGAAAAATTTATCGACATTCCACAACACTGCAATCAAGGAAACAAGTGTTTGAATGAGATTACCTGTGTTCCGAGAACATTCTCCCCTCCGGAATCGACACGATCCATGTGACTGACAGAATGGGTGCCTGTCGAAGCGTCTCCACTCACATCTCCTTCAGCTCCAACTACCTCTGTCAGTGCTGGTCTTCCACCTGGTACCTGAAATGGAATGAGACCACAGAGTGGATTAAGCGCGAGTGTGTAGTGTGCAGTAATTAGTGCTGGATTGCAAAAGTGTGAGACCTATGCATTATGTTTGGTGAGACATTCATAGTGTTTTAGTGGTTGTCTGGATCACATGTCCGAAGTGAATTACTCGGCACACTGCTCACCTGTCATGTTCTCGTCTAGCCAATCATCTGCCTCCCCTTCACCCCAATCCACTCCACACATTCTCTGAAGAATCCATGTGCCTGTCCAATAGCATCTCTGTTCCTTGTTCGCCTACACTGAGACACACCCACTTACTCACACCCTACTTCACACAACCAAACTCAACTCAGTCATTTCATCACAAATGCTTATATTCACAGTCGCCCTTTCATTCACCACTCATATGCCGGATTGCCGACTCCAATGAGAATCATCAATACTGAACGACGAAATCAAACATCACATATCAGTCAGGCACACCACCTGGCAATCTATGCATGCTTATGAATAGGCGAACACACATTGGATGGGTTGGACAATGCCACGTGAATTCTACGGATGGTCGACAATGCTTCGTCGAACCAATGTTGCTCAGCACACATCAGACAGATTCACAAATACTGAAAAACACATACACACACAACCAGGGTGGCTACGATCACGGTCACGGTGTCGACGTGAGACGTTTCGACCTCATCACATACTCAATGGATTCTTCACTCCAAATTCAAGTGATCTGATAGGAGACCCACGGTACAGGTACTCACGGGACAACTCTCACACACAGTTACACAGAGAATGAGAGAGAGTCACAGACACAAACACAAACACAAACACAAACACAAACACAAACACAGACACAGACACAGACACATCACAGATCGAAAAATTTATCGACATTCCACAACACTGCAATCAAGGAAACAAGTGTTTGAATGAGATTACCTGTGTTCCGAGAACATTCTCCCCTCCGGAATCGACACGATCCATGTGACTGACAGAATGGGAGCCTGTCGAAGCGTCTCCACTCACTTCTCCTTCAGCTCCAACTACCTCTGTCAGTGCTGGTCTTCCACCTGGTACCTGAAATGGAATGAGACCACAGAGTGGATTAAGCGCGAGTGTGTAGTGTGCAGTAATTAGTGCTGGATTGCAAAAGTGTGAGACCTATGCATTATGTTTGGTGAGACATTCATAGTGTTTTAGTGGTTGTCTGGATCACATGTCCGAAGTGAATTACTCGGCACACTGCTCACCTGTCATGTTCTCGTCTAGCCAATCATCTGCCTCCCCTTCACCCCAATCCACTCCACACATTCTCTGAAGAATCCATGTGCCTGTCCAATAGCATCTCTGTTCCTTGTTCGCCTACACTGAGACACACCCACTTACTCACACCCTACTTCACACAACCAAACTCAACTCAGTCATTTCATCACAAATGCTTATATTCACAGTCGCCCTTTCATTCACCACTCATATGCCGGATTGCCGACTCCAATGAGAATCATCAATACTGAACGACGAAATCAAACATCACATATCAGTCAGGCACACCACCTGGCAATCTATGCATGCTTATGAATAGGCGAACACACATTGGATGGGTTGGACAATGCCACGTGAATTCTACGGATGGTCGACAATGCTTCGTCGAACCAATGTTGCTCAGCACACATCAGACAGATTCACAAATACTGAAAAACACATACACACACAACCAGGGTGGCTACGATCACGGTCACGGTGTCGACGTGAGACGTTTCGACCTCATCACATACTCAATGGATTCTTCACTCCAAATTCAAGTGATCTGATAGGAGACCCACGGTACAGGTACTCACGGGACAACTCTCACACACAGTTACACAGAGAATGAGAGAGAGTCACAGACACAAACACAAACACAAACACAAACACAGACACAGACACAGACACATCACAGATCGAAAAATTTATCGACATTCCACAACACTGCAATCAAGGAAACAAGTGTTTGAATGAGATTACCTGTGTTCCGAGAACATTCTCCCCTCCGGAATCGACACGATCCATGTGACTGACAGAATGGGTGCCTGTCGAAGCGTCTCCACTCACATCTCCTTCAGCTCCAACTACCTCTGTCAGTGCTGGTCTTCCACCTGGTACCTGAAATGGAATGAGACCACAGAGTGGATTAAGCGCGAGTGTGTAGTGTGCAGTAATTAGTGCTGGATTGCAAAAGTGTGAGACCTATGCATTATGTTTGGTGAGACATTCATAGTGTTTTAGTGGTTGTCTGGATCACATGTCCGAAGTGAATTACTCGGCACACTGCTCACCTGTCATGTTCTCGTCTAGCCAATCATCTGCCTCCTCTTCACCCCAATCCACTCCACACATTCTCTGAAGAATCCATGTGCCTGTCCAATAGCATCTCTGTTCCTTGTTCGCCTACACTGAGACACACCCACTTACTCACACCCTACTTCACACAACCAAACTCAACTCAGTCATTTCATCACAAATGCTTATATTCACAGTCGCCCTTTCATTCACCACTCATATGCCGGATTGCCGACTCCAATGAGAATCATCAATACTGAACGACGAAATCAAACATCACATATCAGTCAGGCACACCACCTGGCAATCTATGCATGCTTATGAATAGGCGAACACACATTGGATGGGTTGGACAATGCCACGTGAATTCTACGGATGGTCGACAATGCTTCGTCGAACCAATGTTGCTCAGCACACATCAGACAGATTCACAAATACTGAAAAACACATACACACACAACCAGGGTGGCTACGATCACGGTCACGGTGTCGACGTGAGACGTTTCGACCTCATCACATACTCAATGGATTCTTCACTCCAAATTCAAGTGATCTGATAGGAGACCCACGGTACAGGTACTCACGGGACAACTCTCACACACAGTTACACAGAGAATGAGAGAGAGTCACAGACACAAACACAAACACAAACAAAAACACAAACACAAACACAGACACAGACACATCACAGATCGAAAAATTTATCGACATTCCACAACACGGCAATCAAGGAAACAAGTGTTTGAATGAGATTACCTGTGTTCCGAGAACATTCTCCCCTCCGGAATCGACACGATCCATGTGACTGACAGAATGGGTGCCTGTCGAAGCGTCTCCACTCACATCTCCTTCAGCTCCAACTACCTCTGTCAGTGCTGGTCTTCCACCTGGTACCTGAAATGGAATGAGACCACAGAGTGGATTAAGCGCGAGTGTGTAGTGTGCAGTAATTAGTGCTGGATTGCAAAAGTGTGAGACCTATGCATTATGTTTGGTGAGACATTCATAGTGTTTTAGTGGTTGTCTGGATCACATGTCCGAAGTGAATTACTCGGCACACTGCTCACCTGTCATGTTCTCGTCTAGCCAATCATCTGCCTCCCCTTCACCCCAATCCACTCCACACATTCTCTGAAGAATCCATGTGCCTGTCCAATAGCATCTCTGTTCCTTGTTCGCCTACACTGAGACACACCCACTTACTCACACCCTACTTCACACAACCAAACTCAACTCAGTCATTTCATCACAAATGCTTATATTCACAGTCGCCCTTTCATTCACCACTCATATGCCGGATTGCCGACTCCAATGAGAATCATCAATACTGAACGACGAAATCAAACATCACATATCAGTCAGGCACACCACCTGGCAATCTATGCATGCTTATGAATAGGCGAACACACATTGGATGGGTTGGACAATGCCACGTGAATTCTACGGATGGTCGACAATGCTTCGTCGAACCAATGTTGCTCAGCACACATCAGACAGATTCACAAATACTGAAAAACACATACACACACAACCAGGGTGGCTACGATCACGGTCACGGTGTCGACGTGAGACGTTTCGACCTCATCACATACTCAATGGATTCTTCACTCCAAATTCAAGTGATCTGATAGGAGACCCACGGTACAGGTACTCACGGGACAACTCTCACACACAGTTACACAGAGAATGAGAGAGAGTCACAGACACAAACACAAACACAAACACAAACACAAACACAAACACAGACACAGACACAGACACATCACAGATCGAAAAATTTATCGACATTCCACAACACTGCAATCAAGGAAACAAGTGTTTGAATGAGATTACCTGTGTTCCGAGAACATTCTCCCCTCCGGAATCGACACGATCCATGTGACTGACAGAATGGGTGCCTGTCGAAGCGTCTCCACTCACATCTCCTTCAGCTCCAACTACCTCTGTCAGTGCTGGTCTTCCACCTGGTACCTGAAATGGAATGAGACCACAGAGTGGATTAAGCGCGAGTGTGTAGTGTGCAGTAATTAGTGCTGGATTGCAAAAGTGTGAGACCTATGCATTATGTTTGGTGAGACATTCATAGTGTTTTAGTGGTTGTCTGGATCACATATCTGAATTGAATTCTTCCTCGCGCTGCTCCTCTGATTTCTTTTTTCTATGCATTCGATATTTTTTCATGTATCTGAATGTCTCGATAATTCTTTGCTTTTTTCTTTTTCGTTTTATTATTTTTTCAATAATGCCTTTCATTGCTATACTTAATGTATGTTTTTCTATTAGATAACTTACATTTTGATTTTTGTTTTATTATTCCAGAAATATTGTTTTTTACTTTTATTTTCAATTAACTGTTCACATGAATTCGCCATTAAATTTTGTCGTTGTTTTTGCCTCGTTAGGGAATATATATTTGCAACTTCTTCAATATTGAAATGCTAAACAACTTTTTGGTATTTATTATTGTAAATTTTTTTGGTTGCAATTATATGAATCTTTATTTGGACAACCGTTTAGATTCTTCTATCAACGTTCTGTTTAATTGTTTTAATGAATTCAATAAATACTTCAGTTCATATTTATTCAGTGTTGATAAAGGAATCACAAGTTGAATCTTTTAGAGTGATATGAGGTTATTTTAGAACATCACAGTTAATTGTTTAATTTGAAAAAGTTGAAAAGATCGAAACCAATAGGTCCTGAGTTTGAATCTCCCGAGGCGGGATGGTGGAAACGCACTGCTACTGTGGGGTTTTACAATAGGACGGAACGGCCGTCCAGTGCTTCCAGGTTTTCCATGGTGGTCTAGACTCAATCGACTCATGATCTTAACCATCTGAACAGATATATGTTGAAAATGTAAGTTTAATGAATTCTGTAATATTATTTACAGATAGTGTTGATATTGATCGCTAAATTCAGAATGTTATTCAATTAACAAATTATCAATTATATTTCATTTATTTGAGATAGTTTGTATTAGTTAATAACATGTAATAATTTCCTTATACGATCTAATCAAAAAATTTTGTATTTTCAATCTGTTTACTTAAATAAAAGCAAAGAGAATTACAATCAGTAAACAGTTTGTTATGAGTGAATTAATACCTCGTATTTATTTAAAAGAATGTACGGTAAGAGTATAATTCATGGACGACCTTCGAGCAACGTTATAGTGACCTTGAGAGTGTCCACTTATTAACTAGGACGAAATGAGGGTTATAAACCAGTGTGAGGGATTAGAATTAGGATAAGGAATTATATTTAGGGTTTTCATCACGAACTGACATCAGCTATAATGTCGAAACTCTATTTAGCGAAATGGGTGAATTTCACGCCAAAATCCGAGACCTGTTATCTTATACGTGATCAGTTCGATCATAAATTATAGTTTCGCTAAAATGTCAATACATTCATCTTTCTTGTCTAAATGGATGAGATTTTCAAGACTACTATTGTATACAACTATGGAAAACAATATTGTCACAATTGATTGATCACTGGGTGGCGATCAATGTCGTACTTGTCTAGTCCTTATTAGTGCAGATCGAATGCTATCGATCATGTTGCAATGTGGCCACCAGTCTAGGTCCTACAGAAGGTCGGTCGCGGCTCGGATAGCTCAGTGGTAACGTCTCTGACTGTGAATCTGGGTGACACGAGATCGAATCCACCAGGAAGCACCAGTTCCATCAAGATTACAGGTACACCTTGCTGACGAGTGCTAAGTAGCACGAAACCCGGGTCCAGGGTTTCCTTTTGACTACCTCCAACCACCATCTAAAAACAATATTGTTTAATAAACTCTACATATTTCAATGGTATAGAACATCACAGGATATTCTTATTTTGTTTAAGGAATTAACCAGATGGTGTTTGCACAGTAATAAAAAATCATTCTACCATGTTACCATTTGCATGCATGTGTATATGTTAAAATCATATAAAACACACCTGCCCAGAGATCTGGAGGTATTCAGTTACTAGGTACATTTTCTTTCGATAGAGGCTATTTTTGTCGATATTTATTTTTATTACTACATGTGTGTAAAATGAAGATTTTTTTAAGAACATCTTTCAAATAATACATCGTCACAAAAAGGCGACTAGGTATATTAGAGATTGAAAAAAATTGCATTAATAATTCCGACTGTCTACCATGCATTCAAGCAGTTCTTGTCGGAAAAAATTGAACAAAGCAGTCATCAAATTAGATTAATATTTATCAATCGGATGAAATACATCGTTGAAAGGAAAGACGGTTGGGTTTCTATGTGGTTTATCAGGTGAATGTGAATTTGATAAACATCTATTTAAGTAGTGTATAAGCGTGATTCAACATTATATTTAACTACTTCCAAATAAAAAGTAAATGTTTTTGTTAAGTATTGATTTATGAGGAATATTATTTGTTCCAGTATGTAAGCATAGTTCCTGATACACATATTACCATTTGAAATAAATCAATATTGATATGCTTCAGAAAATTCGCTTATTTACCCACGCTTCAATTATTATGTACTTGGAATAATGAAGGTTATCCTATATAAGGAATTCTGCAAACATGTGTCAAGTAATTCGATGATCATTTGCTATGATGTCTCTACGTTTACTAATAGTTTATTAGTACGGATCATGTATTAGATTCAAATTACAAGATTTCGAAAAATCAATTACGAGGTGAACAATAAGTTATTGCACTTTGTGGGAAACCCTGGTGAGTTTTCGGTGTCTAGTTCGATTTATATGAAGTAAGAGTTTATGTTTCACTTGGCACGGTCTCAATAATCTAACAATGCTTACTTAGACTTTTAGTAATACCTCTTCTTTTGACAGTGTAAGGAATGGTACTATGTCAAGCCCACATGGGTTATTCTAGCCTCTGGACAGATCAATCTATTCACTTTTCTAAAATCACATTCTTACCTTGTCACTTATTCGCATATTAACCCTGACTGCTTTTATTTCAGTGTGTTAATTACCTACCCTATTCATTATGTCTGTAACACTTTTTGTTTGACTATAAATATCAAGTCATGCTTGATAATACCGAGTTGGCTCACTTGCTCTCTCCACTGCATGTCATTTCGTTTCATTCCACTCTCTCCTCTCCACTTTCTTTGCTTCATTTCTTCGATTGTCTGCCAAGATCAACGATTGTGTGAAGCATACGTATTCGAAATCCATTCTTGTATTTGATTTATTTATATCCCTTATTCACTAACGTGATTTAAGTTGATGATTATATACGAGGGTAACCTGGAAATATATTTCGATAGTAATCATTCATACGGTCGAACTGGAGTCAGATAAGAGGGCTACTAAAACAGATATCCTTAACAAATATTTTAAACGCTCTCTCACATGATCATATTAACTCCAGTGTTCAGTTTCTTTGTATTTTTACGTTACCTATATTGTGAATATTGTAACTGTATTTATTATTTGTATGAATATTCTATAAAAGGTTTTACCCTCGAACTAAAGTTAGAACCATCTTTTAATGTCTAATATAATAAACGCAGAGAATGACCCAGTACCTTTCAGAACACTTATTAGACACCAAGTACATTGTGTCAAAACGTCAATATATATAAAATGTGTATGATTTTTACACTGTTTGGATTTTTCAAGATTTGTTATTATTTTGTTACAGATAGTCATTTCTCCAAGAGGTATTAAATATTTCAGTAGGTCCGTCCTTAATCAGCACAAATGCCCTTAAATGCCCAGGTAGAGCAGAAGGTGGGGAGAGTTAGCTCTCACTTTCCAAATGCTCTCACATGGCCACGCGTATACAGCCACAACCAGGAAAGTTCTATCCACCGCCTTCTCACGGCATTACTGTTGTTTATGAAGTTAAGAGGACGAAAACCGAATGTGCGGCACTTTAACCAGGTTGATGGATATGGAGGATCCACCTTGGGCAGTTGGGAAACACTAATTACAAATTAATGGGGAATATTGGCTCAGAGATCCTTAGGTAACAAGTGGTGTATGAACCAACAGTTTGTTACTGGCTACCACGGGACTGCATCTCCTAACTTTGCTCCACTGTCTTGTGGATCAAACCTTTTGGTCGAAGGCCCTCTAAGAAAACCACCTGCTTCAGTCTGAGTACCCGAGAGGTATCACAGCCCACACACAAATCAAGTGACTTGTGTGTCGTATATGTATTCGGTGCCCGTTGTGACAATATTTATGTGTTCAAACAAATAAATAAATGAAAAATCAGTGCAAATGTTTGACAGGAACTTAAAGAGAAACTGACGGTTGTAAATTGTGAGTTTAGTGATTTCAGTAACATAAAGCACCATATTTAATTGTTTTATGAACTATCTCAATCATAAACCGATTTAATACAACGTTTTTTATTACTATGACTAATTTAATTACCAAAAATACTAGACAAGTGAACACGAAAAACTGATTACTGGGTGATTAGAATACTATGAATGAAGGGTTTTCTCTCATGTTATATATATAACCATTTCTACGAAGTAATGACCAAAATAAAATGTTTTCAACGATCAACATGAAGTAATTTCGTGTCTTTAAATGAGTGAAAAGGTAATTCTTAGATTATTAGTTAAATATTGTTTTAAATATATTGGTTCCGTAGTCAATTTGAAAAAGTACCTAACTATTCAAAATTCGAATTGCCTTGATTCTGGAAGCATCCTTTCGAGTTGAAAGTTATTCTTATGTGTAATAAATGTATTGGCGAAATGACCTTAGTACATCTAGAATGCGCATAGAGCTTCACATCATACACATTGAAAATGGAGATTTTATGTCGCGGAAATTAAAGGATAATATATTCTATAATCAACGTATTAAATTTCTTTATATTCCACAGTCCTAAACCTCAACAGAATACTTTCGTTTACTAAACACTTGAAATACGTATTTAATGCATATTAAAATGCCGGACATAATACACCTATCAAATATAGGTTTGTGAGCATGAC